CCATCCATCCATCCATCCATTCATCCATCCATCCATCCATCCATTCATCCATACATCCATCCATCCATACATACATAGTTGAACATTTACAGTTGTGCTTTTGGTTTGTTATCAGTGCCCACTGGTTGCCTGTGTTTGGATTGTTGTGTAGTCGAGAGTTTTATGTGTTTGATTAAATTTGGAGTTTTGTAAACCATTGTAGTTTGTCCTGTATTTTGTGCAGGATGGCCCGGGTGGTGTTTCTCCATCCAGATCTTGGTATTGGAGGAGCAGAGAGGCTTGTGGTTGATGCTGCTGTTGCCYTGAAGTCTCGGGGCTGTAGTGTTCAGATCTGGACAGCTCATTATGATCCAACACACTGCTTCTCYGAGACCCTGGACCCTGACCTGCCTGTGGTGTGTTAAAGCACAACTTAACTGTGTGTAGTTATCCTRCAGAAATGATACCACTTTCTCTCATTTTCTAACCTTTGCTGTTATTTCTAAAAGGTATGTGTGGGCGACTGGTTACCCACCAGTGTGTTTGGCTACCTGCATGCTCTTTGTGCGTATATTAGAATGATCTATGTGGCTCTGYACCTGGTCTTCCTCAGTGGCGTGGAGTTCGATGTCATCTTCTGTGATCAGGTGAGTTTTTTAAAGGCACCACTGTTTCACCATGTTACCTTTCAATGGTCATTATCAGCTTCTATTTTATACTTTTCTACATTTAAATGTTTTGTTTCACTTCCCAGGTGTCTGTGTGTATACCTGCRGTGCGATTGTCCCGTCACAGAAAGAAAGTTCTGTTTTATTGCCACTTCCCAGACCAACTGCTGACCCAGAGAACGTCGTCCCTAAAGAAGCTTTACAGAGCTCCTATTGACTGGTTGGAGGAACGCACCACTGGCATGGCTGATATGGTAAATAACGGACACAGTGAAGGGTTATTTCTTGTGTTTTTTTTCTGTTTGGTTTAAGAGATGACTTGAATGACATAATCAAATGCGGGCATAGTGTAGTTAGATAGAAAATAGAGAGTAAAATCAAAGCCTGACGTATTTGCAGGCTTGTATGGGTGGAAAAATAAAGTTTGGACCAAACTCTGCWGTTACTGTGACGAGGCAAACATCTCCAAAATATCAGTTGTTGAAAAATCCAACATTTTAAACAATTTGAGCTGTTTTAGTTCATCATCCTTACAAGCGGTAGTATTAATACCGACATTAGTTTTWATGCTGACGCTTCAAATTCTTGTTTCAGTAATCCTCCCTCAGGGGTCACCCAAGGAGCTGTCTAATTCCCTGAAAATTATATTCGAAGTAAAAATAAAAAAAAGCCGAAAAACACTCAAAGGTTTCTTCAGTTTGTAATTATTCAAGGAGTGAAAGTAACAAATTAAAGGTCAGGTTGTGGTTTGGAGGAACATTTTCCAAGAAAACTGATCATTTTGCAGGAACAGCAGACCAGAGATACTTCTTGAAAGAAACATTTTCGCAGACTCCAAGAACGCTGTGGTTTGCTTCTTCATGCAACATCGCATGATTGTTCTGGGAAAGACTGTTGGGGGAGGAAAAAAAACTATTTTTTTCAGCATCACTACAAAATTTAGAAGCAGAGATGTGGAAAAAAAAAGTTTCATAATCTGTAATATTTAGAAATACTTGACATTTAGGTGGTACTTTTTTTCCAACTACTTTTGAACTTGATAATTAAGAAAAATGTTTCATTTAAAATAGTTGGTGTTGAGATTTCAAGGGTTAGTGAGGTGAAGTTCTTGGGGCTTATTATTGATGTAAACTTGACATGGAAACCCCACATTAACTAAATGAGAACTAAATTAGCAAAGTCAGTTGCAGTTTTATATAAAACCAAAGACATATTTAATGATAAAGCCTTGCTGATATCATACAATGCCATAATTGTGCCACATTTGAYCTATTGCGTTGAGGTTTGGGGGAGTGCGTGCAAAACATTTACAAGTTCTATTTTTGTTTTACAGAAGCGTGCTGTGAGAATTGTAACAAGAAAACACTTATCACCCTATGAATACTTTGTTTACGCAGTTGAAATTGTTRGAATTTGGTGGATTATAAGATTCTGTTGATTTATAAGGCTCATAAAAATGTTTTGCCACCAAATGTAYAATCCAACTTCGTTAAGAGAGATCGTATTTATAATTTAAAGGGACTTGCATTGTTTGTGAAACTGAAAATTAAAGCTAATTTGAAGGAGAGATGTGCCTCTGTTCAGAGAATAAAACAATGGTATAATTTACTTGAYGACTTTAAGAATGCTGGAACAATTTATTCTTTTGGTAAAATGCTTAAAAGTTTTTTATGAGATATGAACAAAGTATTGGTTAAGAATTGTATTTTTGTTGTGATGTTTGTTGATTATTTGAAATTATATTGTGTATTAAGTAGTGCTGGGCACGTTCACACGTTATCGTGTTAGATTTCTGTTCACTGGGCAGCTAACACACACACACACAAACTCAGTGGTCACGGTGGGTTTATTATTTTTATTTATTWATTTATTTTTTTGTGTTTATTTATTTTTGATTTTTCATTCCAAATAAGTACTACATAAGGAATGAAAGATAGATACTAAGGTCACAGTTGTCAGAAAAACATAAATAAATAAAATAAAATAAAATAAAATAAGACATAAGAAGATAAAAAGAAAAAAACTGTACATAATGTGTTGCACTATACAAACCTACATAATCAGCCATAGTAAAGGGATTGTTTGTGGGGGGAAAAAGAGATTAATTGCAAAAATATCTTGAGATAAATCGTGATTAAAATTTTTAATCTATGCCCAGCACTAGTATTAAGTTGAGTTTTTTAAATATTTGTATGTTGTTCGTTAGGGGTCGACCGATACATGGGCCGGCCGATATTTTTGGGCGATATTTGCGTTTTTTCCTTGTATCGGCCGATACGCCGTCCTTTCGGCCGATCCATTYTTTGGGTCACGCGAGCGCACGTTGCGGCTGCTAATGTTGTGAGACAGAGTGCTAACAACAATAAGGGTGAGTTATGAACTTTTAATGTGTTTTAACTGTCTTAATTTAGCTGTTTCTGCCCTCTGTGTCGGAATATGAGGGGAGAACAGCTGTGTCTTAAGTTTCACTTWCGAACGGGAGCGCCATGTTTTTAGTTTCTCTTTCGCACCGGACTGTAATTAGTGTGTCCACGTTGTTTTTCTTTTAAACAATGCTGGAACTGAGGCAGAAAACACCTCTATTGTTCTCCCTGCTGGATTAAAATAAATAAAAAGCTCTCGGTCTTTTCTCGCTGTTAGAGCGAGTAAAGTGCTGCCGTCCACGTAAACGTGTGAACCAGGCAGAAGCTGCTCAGATCCACGTATAGAAGTCGTGGTGCAGGTTTTCTTCAGTGTACATTTCAAACGGTGCTCTAAAGTTAACGTCAGCTGGTTTAAATGCATTTTTTGCCTGGTGTAAAAAAACGAGCACAGACTGAGGCACATTCTGTGAGCGCTGTGTGTGTGTGAAGTCCTCACAAAGATAGCAAGATGTGTGTGTCTCTCTCCCTTTTTTCTGTGTTCCTCTTTATGCACGTTGCTGTTTTTGCATCAAAAATGCTGGGATATTAAAACATAGTCATTTTATTTTATGTAAAAATATATATTAATCTGATTAATATACAAATAAAAACAGAATATTTAGCACTAGATAAAATAAATCATTAATTAAATTTTTCTTTTTTTAATTTTAAGAAAGGGCTGAAAGAAGAAATCCTGTGTGGCAGCACTTCATACAGCCTGCACCAGACAAGGCTCAGTTAATGTTTGTTTGTTTGTTTGTTTGTTTGTTTGTTTGTTTGTTTGTTTGTTTGTTTGTTTGTTTGTTTTGAGACCTGTGTAACATTTGTTATCGTTATTATTTTTATAATGTTAATGTAGGAAGAAAAGGCAGTATCAGCTTCAAGAATCGGCCAAAAAAAATCGGCTGCACGTATTGGCGTATCGGTTTGACTGATGTCAAAAAAATTGGTATTGGTATCGGCCTTCAAAAACCCGTATCGGTCGATCTCTATTGTACTTTTTTTTTTTAGATTTATATAGTTTTTTAAATGGGGGCAGATGTTTATAAGATTTTTTCTTCTTTCTGCTCCTTTTTATTCGACTATGTTGTGATAGTGTTTTTAACACAATGTTATTATTTGTTTGTTTTATTATTTTCTGTTGAGTGAAAAAAGTTCTATAAAAAAACTTGATACCTTCTAAAGTTTTAGTTTAATAACAGGTGTGTTGTCTCTATGTTTTTAGATTCTGGTAAACAGCCAGTTCACTGCAGGCATCTTCAGGGAGACCTTTCAGAGTCTGAGTAGAGTCCAGACAGACGTCCTCTATCCCTCCCTGAACACGCAGACCTTTGACCAGGCCACCACCGAGACCCGGGGCCTGCAGGGTCTGCTTCCTGAGGGAACCTCCCACATGTTTCTGTCTCTGAACCGGTAYGAGAGAAAGAAGAACTTGGGTCTGGCTCTGGAGGCTCTGGCCGTCCTGAGGTGCAACCTTCCACCTGCTCAGAGAGCGGGCGTTCACCTGGTGGTGGCGGGGGGCTACGACGACCGCGTGACCGAGAACGTCCAGCACTACACGGAGCTGAAAGAGTTAGTGGAGCAGCTCCGCCTGGAGGACTGCGTCACRTTTCTGCGCTCCCCCTCYGATTCCCTGAAGGTGGCGCTGCTGCGGAGCAGCACCGCCGTGCTTTACACCCCCAGCAGGGAACATTTTGGGATAGTGCCCGTCGAGGCCATGTACTGCCGCTGTCCCGTTATCGCTGTGAACTCCGGGGGGCCCCTGGAGAGCGTGGCGGACGGGGAGACGGGCTTCCTGTGCGAGCCCACCGCCGACGCCTTCTCTAAGGCTATGGAGAGGCTTATCAGGGACCAGCAGCTCCGCAGGGACATGGGACAAGCCGGGAGGAGGAGGGTGCAGGAGAAGTTCTCTCTTCAGGCCTTCTCAGACCAGCTCTATGGGTACATTGTTGGGCTGAGCCAGTGATGGCGGGGGGAGGGGGGCAGAGGTGAAACTGATGTCTGCAGAGTGTTGAGGAAGTACGTGTAAATGTGAAGAGAGATGGGAGGTGTATTATGAAGACAATTAATCAGCATTCCCCTGGAGGGGTTGCTGAGATGGGAAGAAAAAAGATGGAATTTCTTTACCAATTAGGAAATAAGAAATTAGTTTGCCTGCCCTGTCTGGTTTAAAAAAGAAATACACGGCGAGTGTCGCAACGTGGCAACCAAGAGTCTGAGAAAGAACTGATTATTAGAGAAATGCTTTTCACCGTTWGTTTGATTCCATTTCCTACAGTACTCTTTGTTTTCACTTGTTTTGGTGATGCTGTCGTCGCCACGTGCCATCGGGCTCGGATCAATAAACCGGATGTTTTCCACTGCATCCTKTCTGTCCAGAGCTTTGTTCTTCCCTCTGCATTCAGAAGACTCTGGCCTGTCCGTGACTCCTGCAGCTGCGCAGAGGTTATTAGCAGATGATAAAGTGTTTGGCTTTATTAGAGGTCTGGCTGATGGGCAGTGTTGCCTGAGTCTGGGTCGTTATCAATGAGGAGAACAGCAGAAGGTCATTGTGTCTGTGCGTTGGCCCCCTCAGCCTTCCTACTGTACAGAAACGCTCGTATTGACATTCTTGAAGTCTTAATAAACAAGAAGACGCATAGTTTCTTATGAGCCTGACTTTGTTGTTAAGGTTTTTTTTTTTTGGCCTTTAATAGATTCGACTAAAGATTTTCTGGGAGGCACAGAAACATCATTAATGCTTTCGATGTGTCCAGCAGATTGTTGAATAAAATCTTCAAGACCAAACAGCAACAAAAACTTTATATTTTGCTCTAACAATATTACAAATGAGTAAAAAACAAAGATCTTTCATTCTGTGTTGTATAAAGTACCTCAAAGTGATACTTGAGGAAAAGTACAAGCACCTTATAAAAATACTTTGGTAAAAGTTAAAGTCTTCTCTAAAAATATTACTTGAGTAAAAGTCTTAAAGTATCTGATATTTTTTGTACTTATCAAAAGTAAATTTCTAACACAAAATCTACTTAAGTATTAAAAGTAAAAGTACTGAGTAAAAGTGAGCAGTTAGATTTTCCAAAATGACATTTATTGGGAGGTGACTTCTCCAAAAAATATATTTTCTAACAGCGTGCAGCTGTGATGGGTTGTGTACAAGATAATAGTGTGTCAGAATGGTATATATTTATACTTCTCATCCAAACACAATTAAATTCACTCTATCAGGAGACACAGTTTATCAGGATAGTATTTTTAAAGTAATAACAACTCGGAATAAAATAGGAGTAACGACTTTCTACTTCTTACCTTTTTAAAAAATATAGTGAGTAGAAAGTATAGATAATTGTATAAAAATGTAATGAGTAAAAGTAAAAAGTATGCTGAAAAATAATTACTCAAGTAAAGTACAGATAACCAAAATTTCTGCTTAAGTACAGTAACAAAGTATTTGTACTTCATTACTTTACAAATCTGCTTTCATTTTGCGTCTCTGTCCGTTGTTGAACATTCATTTGAATGTTCTGCATTGTAGCTAAATGAGCTTTGTTCTCATTGAAGGGAATCTAAGGAGTGAAAACAGTTAATAAAAATGAATAAGTAAACATGACTTTCTAGTTATTTATAGCTGTTTAAATGGCTCCAATGACCACAGAACAGTCAAGTTTTCAATAATTCAATTAATTAAAGTTTATAGCTAGCCATCATATTGTACCATGAAAAGAGGGCAATAATGTAACTGTSTGTGTACTTGTATTTGTTATCTTTTTCGGATTGTTTCTGGTAACTTGTCAAGACCAATAATCCTTACAGCAACCAAAGACAAGTCCTAATATGGTGGAACTCCATTTTTGTGTTGGAAGTTAGGTTTCTGGTTAAGTTTATGTATGAGGGTGGGGGTGTTGTAGGTTTAGGGTAAGGGGTCATAGAAGTCAATTAATGATCCTGTTAAGTATAGAAATACAAACGTGTGTGTGCATTTGTCTCTTAGCGACTTTTCTCCTAAATCARGTTGAATTTTAGGGAATTTCAAAGTTACACAAAATGCTTTACAAGCGACTAAAACTCAAAAAATAAAATAACCTGGTTTGTGTCAATTACTAAAACRTCTGTTTTATCCTGATTGACAATTTCATGCGATCCATGACTGAACATTTAAAATACAGCACTCTKTTTTTGGTTCATTATGAAACCACAATAAGTTGTGTGTCATGTCATCGGCATGGTTWTAAAATTTCACGCCATTTTTCCTGATGAGGTTTCTCATCTGTAACTTGATTTCAATAGTGTAGGACCAAGTATTGAACCTTGTGCAACTCCACATTTAAGTGTTTCTTGTTGAGAAGAAATATTTCCAGTTACAAAATGTGCAAATTTTGTTGTCACACCAAGAGTCATTAAATGTTTGCCATTTTTATTCAGAAACAAGGGTCTAAAACAGTTAATTGACCATGAAACGATTTCGAACATATGAATCTAAATTTAAGACYACTGAATCACGTTCACCCACCTGGCTGCCCATAGCGTGGCCGTATCAAACAAATGTGGCAAAATGCTCGCTGTTGAATTTCACCAGGTCAAAGGTGAACTGTTGCAGGAATGTCTCACATTGAAGCCTCACAACCCAATATGTTAACTGTTGATGATTTGTGTTCTCTTATTATTAATCAAGTGCAATCAATCTTACTTCAAGTTCAACAAAATATCCATCAGTTACACTTGTAAACTTTGTTTTTTTCACCTGCATTGAGTTTCTGATCCCTTCATATCTTATATTGATTYTGACTTTTCTTCAGATTCAAAGAAACCGACGGTGACGCGACTTGTTTTTCCAGAAGTTCAAATTATTTGTCCCTGTGGGTCTAATTAGTAGCAGTGGCTGTGGTCTTATTTAAAACATAAGTTCCGCTGYGTGGAATATCAGTGATTCACCTCAAGTCAATTAATTGTACACAAGCTATTTTTTTTTCATGATTCCAAATAAAATATATATATTCTCATTTGATATTCAAGACAGGTTCAATCGGAGCTCAAATCTGGCCCCTTGRCATCTGAATTATGGATAGTTGAGCTGAAACTTTTTGACTGATGAAGTGTTTTAATGTTATCTGAGTCACAATTTCATATTAAAACAAACTAATATAGATTGTGTGGCTTCAATTTCATGAATTACACAAATCAGATGTGGCATTACCTTTTCMCGTCTTAATCATAAACTCTGGTGAAAGTTAAGTTTGTTTTTACAKCCTGTTCAACATAAACTGAACTTAATGGGTAAGTGTTTTTACCTTTGAACTTCAGGCATGCAACAAGACTCCCCAAAAACAAACACAAAACTGCTAATAAATAAATAAATAAATAAATAAATAAATTAGGATTTTTTTTTTCATCGAAACTCTTCAAAGTTTTCCAAAGTCGAGCTCGTTCTCAGTGCAGGTTGGACTCCTCCAGGGCTGTCTCTTGTTTCTGATCCTGTGTGTTTATGGACAGGATCTCAAGGCACAATCATGGAGAGGAAGCTGTCTGGTTTAGGAACCACAGGGTCTCGTCTCTGCTTTTTGGGGCTGATGTGGTTCTGTCATCTTCGGGTCAAGAGCTTCAGCACTGGGGTAGTTTGCAGCCAAGTGTGAAGTGGCTGGGATGKGAGTCAGTGTGTAGTTCTTGACCAGAAAAAGGTGGAATACCCCCTCTAGGTCAGAGTGTGTGTGTGCTTGTTGCTGCTACAGAGTGAGGACCACTTGCAAAATAGTTACTATTAAAGTGAGGTCTTTGATGTAAAGTGAGGACCTTACCCTGGTCCTCACATTTTTTGCAGCTCTACAAGTATTAGACGTATGGTGTGAATTATGTTTCGGATCAAGTTAGGGTTAGGAATAAAATGGTAATGGTTAATGTTAGGAAAAATGTCTGGGTTAAGCATGAATGTCGTTACAAAAATCAATGGAAGTCAATACAAAGTCCTCAGTTTGATCCAAGTACAAGGATGTGTGTGTGTGTGTGTGTGTCTTGTTTACAAATGATAGTAGGATGGAGCGGGAGATGTATTGACGGATTGGGACCTCATCCTCAGTAATAAGGGCATTGCTTTGGTTGGTCGAGGTTGAGAAGAAGCTGAGTCTAAAGGCAAAGCTCTTGATTTACTGGTCTGTCCATGTTCCAAATCTAGCGGCCAAAATGAGCTTCATAGGGTGGCCGGGCTCAGCCTTAGAGCAATCGTGTCCTTAGAGGGTGAGGATCTYGGAGTAGAGCCACTGCTCCTCTGCATCGAAAGGAGTCAGTTGAGGTTTGGGTGTCTGATTAGGATTTCTCCTGGWCGCCTCCCTTTAGCAGTGRGGTAGACTCCTAAATTATTTTTGTGAATGGCGTCTGAAACSRAATCCCCTTTTCTTTCAGAACTTTYGTGACACCCATGTRTGTTYTGCGTTTTTGAACAAGGGTAGTCATAGTCAAACTGTATTTTCTTGTTGCCCACCTGTATCCCTTTCTTCTGCCAGACTTTCTGCAGGACCATCTCTTTAATTTCGAACTTGTGAAAATTTACCACTACTGCTCTAGGAGTACTGCCCAGGCCTGGTTTTGGTGCGATGGCTCTATGGGCTCATTGGATTTGCAGATCAGTTCCTTCAGATAGTTCCAGTTCTCTTTTAAGCAACTGATCCAGGTAGTCTGTGATGGAGAAATTTTCTGTCTTTAGGCAACCCAAAAATCTGGACATTTCATCAAGATCTTGCTTCCGTTAAAGATCTGTTAATTTGTTCTGCATCTGGCGAGTTTGTTTTGTTAGCTTCATTAGCATGTCGTTCACTTCGATGTTGTATTCCTCCAGTTCCGTAATGCGSGTCAGTGCCTCAGATAYGTTCGYCTTCWGTTCCTGAATCTCCTTCTGATTTTGTAGACGTTTCCGATCTATGTCCTGCTTCTTGTTTCATCTCTTTGAGTGTTGTCAGCTCGTTTCGGAGTTCCTGTTTGAAATTGCGAATTTCGTTGCTAATATCAGCGAGTCCAGTTTTCAGTGTTTTGGTGTGGTCCATTTTCAGTCGAGTCACTTTTGTCTTCACTTGCGTCTGTGTTCTCTTTTCTTTGTAGGCTGTACACAAGCTTTCTTTGGGGATTTGTTGTTTTTGCGGCTTCGATAGCCACTCATCTCAAAGTTCATAGCATTTTAAATAGAGTTGCTCAGATTGAGTGACTTTATTTTTACAGACTTTCGTGAGCTAAAGACTATGCAACTAACCCATCCGCCATCTTACCGGAAGTCGGCCGGTAGACTCCTAACTTACTGGGGGAATGGTTTAGCCTCTCTGGCCTGGGAACCCCTCGGGATCTCCCAGGAYTAGTTGTAATGTGTCGCCTGGGGAAAGGATGTTTGGGTTTCCCTCCTAAACCTGTTGCCTCGACCCATCTACAGATAAACGGTACAAAATATAGATGGCGTTTTCTTTAAGTTCTGCAACACTGAACAATCTGAGCTCAGTTTTTGACTATTTTCTCCTAATTTTCAACAAGATAGAACTGAACGCCAACCGTTGCCGATGTCCCTTGTCACATATAGAGAGCATTTCTACGTCCCCCGCCTCTGCGATGGGTTCAAAAAGAAAATTAATACACAAAACCCCTCTTAATAAACATTTGATAACCGAGAAATTACTACTGCAGTATAT